TATTATGATGTTATCTGCTGCATTTGTTTGCAGTGCAATCTGAGTTATCGATAGTCAAAATCTCCAAATTTGAAAACAAATGATCTTGCTCTATATATTTCTTACTTCCTCAATACCAAGGAAAACAGAAGACATATCTTTTGTTCTTTTCTAGAGGCAGATTTCCCATAGCTACTCCGAAACAAGCAAAACACGACAGACAGATATTAACAAATTATATAATTTCAATTTTTTGTTGTAAACCGACCGACCAACCCAGCTTTAGATCACGGTGACCACGTGAAGTACATATGAAATATGCTACAAAAATCGGGTTGTGAGGCTCGCTAGGAAACCCTAAAAGTATTGGCCAACAGTCTGATGGGGATCAGACTTGGTTACTTGGTTGGACTGGTAGCATGCCATCGTATCCCGTATCGTAGCTCTATGCTCATAATGTTAATCACTGGATTGTTATATCCAGATTCGATTATTTACGGATTTTATTTTATATTTTAATATAGCGTGAATATTGCTATAGAGACCAGTGTTAAATAACAAACAACCCATGGGAACTATATATTGCAAAGTATAATGTTGTTTTATCAGGGCAACCCACGTCGTCAGGTAGACTCTGATAGTATGGTGTTATGAGACGTGATAAATGCTGAACTAAATGAATACACTCAGCCGTTCCGTCACGGACAGTGATGGAGCTGATTTGAGATGAGTCCCAATGTTTGGCCCTACAACAGGCGATGAAAGACTACAAAGTCCTTAACACAAGTTGACTTAATACTTTCAAGTGACTTCGCCTTGCCTCTGAACTCTCATGGCCAGTAAATCATTATGACAAACGGGTTCCTGGCGCAGCCTGATATATATACCTGGTCTGTCACACAGCGTCTTCTTTGTCATGGCTCTAGATAAATCTGGAGCAACCTGCGTACATCATGAATATTTTTAAACCTGAAGCCAAGCATATTTGTGCAGGTTTATCTTACCCATGGAAAACTATGTTTTTCATAAATGGTATTTACAAGTTCAGTGCAGACGGATGTTAATGATACATTAGACACGCATACGCATTTTGTCGTCGTTGTTGTGGATATACATACGCTCGTATAAAGATATGTTATTTAATTAATAGTTTTTGCATTACATATGAAGTGAAACAAAGTGTGTCACGCACCAGTGATCTAAATATGCCAATCATCTAACGGGAAATAAGTGTCAGTAGTGTGCCTTATTGGTATCCGAGGTCACCAGATGGAAACAAATTGGTGGTATCGAAGCTGAAATTGACGGTCACACTTGTACAGCACTATGACGCGTTTTGCCTGACTGACTGAGTATGGTTTTACGCCGTTTTTAGCAATATCACGGCTGGGGACACCAGAAATGGGCTTCACAAATTGCACCCATGTGGAGAATCGAACAGCGTAATGAGTACACAGTAGGTACGTGCCTTTGTATCACGCACAACATAACGACTACAGTGGAAGCACGTGCCTTTGTATCACACACAGCATAACGACTACAGTGGAAGCACGTGCCTTTGTATCACACACAACATAACTGACTGACTGACTGACTGAGTGGGCTTCACACAATGTACTCATGTTGGGGATTCGAACCTGGGTCTTCGGCGTGACGAGCCAACGCTTTAACCACTAGGCTACCCCACCGCCCACACACAACATAACGACTACTGTGGAAGTACGTGCCTTTGTACCACACACAGCATAACGACTACAGTGGAAGCACGGAACCACTAGGCTACCCCACCGCCCACACACAACATAACGACTACTGTGGAAGTACGTGTCTTTGTATCACACACAGCATAACGACTACAGTGGAAGCACGTGCCTTTGTATCACATACAACATAACGACTACAGTGGAAGCACGTGTCTTTGTGTTACACACAGCATGACGACTACAGTTGAAACACGTGTCTTTGTGTTACACAC